ACATCATTGTGACAGCAGCCTCTTGTGTATCACAAGCTGTAGCGAGGGCACAAAACAGTCCAAGCTAGGAACTCCCAAATCCTCCATTGCGTTTTTTCATATTATACGCATTGTCTCGCAAAATTGTGTGTTCTTTGTTTAATGGGATTTCCCACTAAGCGGTACTTCCACCTCTTAAATCTTCTCTTTTTTCCCCCCAAAGATCATTAATTGCTGTCCTACTGGTTGTTGTTAAAAGCATAAAATACCACCGGACTATCACCCTTCTGTCACTCATCCGATTTTCTTACGCTCCTCGTACTGCAAAGGGTATGTCCATGATGTCCAGGATTTCTTTTGGGTTCAGATCAGGTGAGCAAGGGGGGGCCAAGTCATCATTTTACTATCTTTGAACCCTTTGCCGGCCAGCCAATCTCTGGTGAACTTCGATGCATGAGATGGAGCAAATTGTCTTGCATCAGTATCATGGACTTTTTGAATGATTCTGGCTTCTTCTGGTACCACTGCTTGAGAAAGGTGTCCTCCAGGACAACATTAGTTTCTGGAGTTTGTTTTCAAGCCGTCTTCCATCTGAACTGGTCAGACCAATTCACTGTTGATAATTTCAGCCCATACCATTATCCCTCCCCCACCTCGGTGTGCGATGGCAGATAGCAACCCAGCCATGGACCCACCCATCAGGTCCACCCAGGGTCACTCATCTCATCTGTCCACAAAACCTTTGAAAAAGGTCTTCATATATTTCGTTGCCCATTCTTGATGCTTTTGCTTATGATTTTTATTTAAAAGGAGGCTGTTTTTCTGCCTTCGCATTTTGTACTTCTGCAGCATAAAGGAAGTTTACATTTCTGAAAGATGATGGCACTTGACGCTAAAGGGTTCCTGCATACTTCCCGTTTAACTCTTCTTACAGTAAGTCTCTAGTTCTCAATTTGCATAATTTCTTCTCAACACGCTTTTTGAGTCTCTGTGATCTCGTGCTCAAAAATCTTTCGACTGCCTGGTGATCACAACTCAATACCTTTGCAATTTCAACAGTTTTGTAGCCCCGTGAAAGCCAGTTAACTATTTTTTGTCTTTTCACCTTCTGTTACGTCTCCTTTTCGGCCCATTTTTCTAGCAGCAAAAATCTGCCTAATAATTAAGCACACCTGAATTTAAGGCATTCCTCACTTTAAGCCACACCCTCTCCCAATAAAACAACTGAAAATGTTTACACTAATTGAGTAATGCAGTTAATACGGTTTTTCGTTAACAAAAACGCTCTTGGAGATGATTTTCCATTAGAATACAGACAGCATAATAATTGTGTACGCAGTGTAATGTTACATATAAAATCAACTAAGCAGCATAGCCGTGATTGGCTGAATCCAGTGTTGGTGGTAGCCAACCAGTAGCTCACAGGAAGCCAACGAGCAGTTCCCATAAAACATTTTAGAAAAAGTACCGATTAAATTAAGTTTATTTTTTAATATTTAACTCATACATGTGTAAACTGGGGTACTACAAGGAATTTCACTGCATCATGGGCACTTTGACGGTGACAGGTCAGCAAGTTTCACAGTCGCCACCATCCCCCGGTTGATATAATGTTGTATTATATCAAACATGTCGCTCCCCAAGATTATTGCCTTTGAAAAAGTAACATTCATGGCTAAGAAGCCGAGATGCCTGAGACAGACTTATTTCCCAAAGGTAATCTCTGTGCGTCACAAAAATACGCAAAGATGGCTGAGAATCGCATATGGGAGTAAGACGTGGGGGTAGCTCTGTGTTTTATGAGGAACAGGTGCTGGGGAGAAATGCTGCAGGATGAGGTGAAAAGGAATATTTTAAATTACTCCTCAAATAAGGTATAAATCAGGGGTCTCAAACTCAAATAACCTGAGGGATGCTGTCGAGGAGGAACTGAGACCTCTGGTGTTAAAACCTTGTAATTCTCAGATACTTTGTGAAACACCTTTGCTGTACAAACTGCATCTCCCTTGGTTGGATTGAGTTTGTTAATGAATGGCTGCAAAACCACCTCCTGTCTCCTCTGTATCAACAAAGGCAAACCTTTGCGACCTTTAAAAACACACAGATGAACCTTGAGAAGAGATTCACCTGTACAGCTGGCAGGATTCTGACCAAATTAACCACATTTCACTGTATTTAAACCAGCACTGTGTTAGTGAACCTCATCTGCTGCCTCACAGGGGTGTTTAACATAAATAGCAGCAGCAGATCTTTCCAACCACTTTTGGGAAACAAAATCGGTGCAGAGACCTTATGTATTTCTGCACTTAGAGGGGAGGAAATGGAAACTGTCTGAACATAATTGTGGTGCTGGAAGGTCTCCTGGAGTCAGCTCACACCCACTACTGCACCTTAGTGACTCCAGTGGCACCACTAACCCACACTGGCCCAGTTATCTGGATTTTTACACTCACCGTGAAAAAATAACCAGCATAGCCCTATAGACCTTCCTTCGAAATATCGTTGCCAGACACACACAGACCGGTAAGACCATGTGTAATAAGACTAAGAGAAACATTATTTTATGACCATAAAAGCCCACTGTTGTTTTAGGTTTTCTGCATAATCTTTTTACTATGAAACAAAAAAAACCTTCATTTTATGAGCTAAAACCCCAGTGTTCAGTTAATTTATGCAAACTCTTTTAAACAAGGACAGTATGAACCAGTTAATGGACTGACAAATAATATGAACACTATGCACTGGGAATTTTCATTAACCTACAACTGGCAAACAAGCCTGTTCATCTCTGACGGCTTGGATCCGAACAGGACAAACACGCTTCCTGTACCATTTCCGCACAGTGATATGAAGGATTTCCTGTTTTTTCTGCCAGGCAAGACCCTGTGAAGATGACTGATACTTTTCCAGGGTGATTTCACCTGTGTCACCGTAATACACTGATTCTGCACACTGACAGGAAAGAAAAGCGACAAAAACACTAAAAGAAAAAACTGAAAGAGCATCTTCCTAAGCAGAGGCTGGCCCCTTCCAGGCAAGACTGATGGGTTTGCGTGATGGTCCTGGGCCGGTTATGTCCAAGTGTTAACATCCAGCCTTTTTTTAGTCCTGCAAAGCACCTTTTGTCCTTTGACCTGGTCAATTATATATGTGCACCATGAAAGCTAGTGTAAGATCGGGAATGTATAGCATGCACAAAAAAGAAGAAAAAGTCAGGGGCAGCTTACAAAAATGACCCAAAAGTGAAATAATAAATTGCACAAAAAAGATTTAGGAATTTGGAAAGAAGTTTCAGAGAGGACCAGATGCATCGTCAATGAGCTTGACCTTTTTATTAAAGTATATTAAGGGCACTTAGTACTTTTGGGTTACGCCCTTAGTGAGACAAAGCTGAAAGCCACCTGGATGTAACAGAGGTCGGATCTGCGATTGAGGACAACAAATAAATCTGATAATTGTCAGAGATACAATTGAAAATGGAATATGTACAAACAAATAAACCAAAAATGATATATAAATGGATACTGGCACTAATTAACACTAAAGATTGCTGATGCTAACAAACTATGACCAAAAACTATAATACAATGAACACAATTGAAAAGCCACTGCATATATTTTCACTTCCTCAGAAAGTAACCTGACTCTAAAATAGCATTTTATCTGAGGCTGAGAGGAAAATTATGCAAGCCAGTCATTCAGAAATCACACCCCCAGGTCCCTATTGCCTGCATAACTATAAAATGAATATGGAGATGTTAAGATGATCTATCCATTTCGCAAAAAATGCTGAGAGAGCAAGAGGATATGGCTGATGATCCTTACATCCTTACATCCCTGTCACAGCAAATCAAATGCCGCCTTGTTAAAAACTGCTGTGCTAGTACAGTTAAAAAAAAAAAGATTTCCAGCACAGGATCATGCAGAGGCAGAGTCCATCTCAGGAAGTCTAGTGTACAAAGCTGAGCAACACCCTGGTTTTGGTAGTCAGTCCATCTCACACACACACACACACACACACACACACACACACACAAACATTTGTATTTATATCTTTTGTGAGGACCTTCCAGAACCATTTGTAATAACCGATGATCAACACAACGAACAACTGCATTAACCAGACACGAGACACCGAAGCATTCTTGCAAAGCATTTTACCATATACCCTGAACCATTCACAAAACGTAAAGGAAAAGGATTTACTATATTCCATAAAACAATAACCATACACGGGCTATTTAAACATTTACTGGTAAGGGGATAACAAATGACAATTCTGAAATTGGTTACAGGATTGCTGTGAGATAACAATGCCTGATAGACAAGCTGCACATTTACTATCGGCATATGCACCTGAAGTTACGCTGCACGATATTTACACTTGATGGAAGCTAGCTGGGGAACACTGCTAAATGCTAATGCTAACTGTTCATGCTTTGAAGTGGGTAGTGCTGTAAATATTCCCAGCTGCGCATAAAAACATTGACCTCAAAAAGGAAATACAACGTCTATCCACCAATCTTCAGTCACTTAATCGGCATGAAGTCGTGGGATGGAGACATAACTTAAGTGAAAATGCAGCATGTAGCCTGTCGAATCTTTACTGCAAAATAAATGCCTGGTGGTGATTTTTCATCCTTTCTGTTCTCCTTCCAAGACAAAATTATATCATTACCATTGAAACATTTTAACATTAAGTTAATTTGACTGGATTGTCCATTAAAGCCTTAAAATGCAGTTCCAGTTAGTCCTCAAACACTACTTCAAGCCCTCCAAGTAATACTTCAAATATGTTATTCAGTCCTCTGCGTACAAGTTTTGTTTTCCCAAACCTCATAATTTAAAAGCACATCATTGAAAAGATGATGAAATGGCGATGAGTCAGGTAACAGGGGGGGAGAGTCACAGTCGCTGTCCAAAGTGAGTAACAGCCAGGCTCTTTGGCACAGAGGTAAAGGTGGCCAAACTTCACAGGGAAGAATAATTAAAGTCCTGCAGCTACAGGACACAGTGCCCTTAGAATATCCTGCTGACCTCCCGTTGTACTATAGTACACTTTCATTGTGGATCTAACCAGAATTATTCAATATGCACAATTATTAATAAAAAGGAAAATTCACTGTCAAACAGCAATTCCTGCATGCAAGATGGGACGGAGATCCCAGGGCAAGGTAAACTTGTGGTACAATTGCAGTCAGTTCCGTATTTCTGATCAAAGAGCTGACTTTGTCTTTCCTCAGTTAACTTCTCTTTTGAAAAGATGCACAAAAAAAAAAGGCTTTAAACACCGCAGAGTCTAACCAGGATGCACAGAGCACAATGCTCCATTGAAAAACAGCATAAAAGGCGTACTTTTGTCTTCACAACAGAAAGAACATCACATCGCATCCAAACCTGCAGTACAGGTTTATAGCCAGCTGTATGAAAACATGCTCGAGATATTTTATTCACAGAATGTCTGTCAATCTATCCCAGGGAACCTTGGTTCACCCTGTGCCACATTAGTTAGCTTTATCCATCATACCATAATATCAGAATATGGCAGCTCACACCATCAAAGTTGGGGGATTCCAATCTCACCTCTGTGTTGCATGGATGTTCTCCTGCAGGAAAGGTATGCAACATATAATAATAGGATATAACATTAGCGTGAGTGTGTGCATTGGCCTTGTGATGGACTGGAATCCTGTCCAGGGAATACCCTGTAACACATTATGTAATTACTCAACAAAATGTAACAAATTTTCTACACATAACATGATGTTATTACACAATGCGGTGTTACACACTGCATTGTGTAATAACACCACATTGTGTAATAACAATATTACAAATTTATAGACTACATTATAATTTTATATTCTAACAAGCCCCCCCCCCCCACAATCCTGACCAGGACAGGCAAATGGAAGATGAAATTAAATGTAGCAGTTGAGAATCCAACATTTGGGGAATTCGCAGGGGTCAGTACAGGAGTGCAATGGCCAAACCTCAACCTGGGTGAACCACCTTTGTGAAGATACCGTCTTCCCTGCCAGGCAAATATCCCCTACCAGGAATACCTCTTCTAAAAGCTGTTCTCCTTTCAGTTTGAGGTCTTTGGGAATAAACACACAGGATCAAGTGCTACATACGAGTTAAATCTGGCTAGTTACCACAAGTATGTCCAATGTGTTCCACCTTTGTCCCCAGAGCTTTTTATTCTGACGTCAGAGAATTAATTTGGCGCTTGTCAAATAGGTTCATACTGTAACACTCATACTGAAAATGGTTCAGGATGCAGTCTTCACACCAGTGGAACCAGGTTACTCAGCATTTCTCTTTACCCAAAACTTTCCACCAAATCACTGACACAGATGACGATTGTTAAGCCATTAGCGCAGCCGGATACAGAGGAATTCAGGCCCAGTGCATGAATCAACACGAAAAAACATATTTTCCTTCCTGGGGCTTGAGCTGCCACCCTCTCTGCCACAAATTGTCTTCCTTTAACCATTTTCCTTCCCCAGGGACAACCATAATGTCGCCCCTTCGGCTTAGCTGTGAGATGGGCAGAGAACATCGCCATATGGCACTTAAGGGTGACTTCTTCATTTATTCTGAATGAGCTAAATCCCAGAGTAAGGCTGGCACTGCGAGCCTCTGACATCTGCTGAGATAACTCCACCTGCTCAGACCAATACCTCCGTGCTTCACTGACAAACAAAAACACTTTTAAAGCTGCCCCGACTTGTTCGGATCCCACCCTAACTCCCTCACAAAGTCTCCTTGTCTCTCACAGATTCTAATAAAGAACGATCTCACTGTCGGGTCCTGTTCATTTTCACGGAGCAGCCCATAAGCAATTTAAACATGTACAATAATGTATTTTTAGAAAAACACAAATTTTGCTACCAACCTATTGTGTGAAGGATGGTGTTTATGCTGCCTAGGATATGCCCATTTCTTTGTATGAAGGCAACTTAAATGCCGTTTGTACAGGAATACTGTATATGATTGTCACCATGCAGCTTCTGTTAAAACAGTGCTGTTCACATGAAGCATGAACACTTGTGAAGGACATTACAATATATATTATTTTTGTCCTCTCCCTTCTCCCAAGTAAACTCACCCAGATCCTGATCCCTAACCCAGCCCTCAGTTGTAGCATTATCGTGACTTGAAGCCTTTTTGGTTTCTGTGTACAGTGCCCTTCTTCCAGCCCATTCTCCCCATCTATTCCCAGGTAAAAGCCCCATTCCTTCCTTGCCCCCATCGCTCGGTCACATGTTTCTCTTAGCCATCCCACCCAGAGCAAGTCATACAATCACATGTGTAAGCATTCTGCATGCTGCCCCGCGCCTCATCCCATATTCCATGGGAAAAACCTCCAGATTTATTGTTTGCAGATTTAAGAAAATTCTGAAATCTGAATATGAAAAATTTTACTCTGATGACACCAGAAAAATTAATAAATACAAATAAATACTGTTGCAAGAACTATTGTCTGTATAATCTACAGACAATTTTTAAATCAAACCCTCTTGCCTTGCAGCAGAACAGCAGGATAATACAAACCTCGAGAGGTAAACTTAACTAAACAACATTTTTCTCTGCACTGACTTCTATTTGAGTACGTACAACAAAAATAAAATGCATAACATAAATACATCATCATATAAGAGAACACACACACACACACACACACACACAAACACACACACACACAGACACCTGTCAGTTATTGCAGCATGTTTCAAAGGATCCCGATGTCCAATATGAAGAACCTCTTACCTCCATGAAGGGATTCTCTGTGATCAGAGAGCCATCCTTGGTGTATAAGTACATGGTGAAGTCTTTGGGAAGAAGCAAACTGGAAGAGGAACAATTCTCATTAGCAGTCATGCTTCTTAATGACGACTTGACCTCTATCCTACAAGCTGGCTTTTGACCTTGCCCATGCCTGGCTGTGGCCAGAGAGGATTTAACATGAACACAACCCTACTTGGCCCTTGTAACAAGAACCCAACCCTACTTTTTAGCCAATCTGAAACATCATTTCTCAACCAGTCCTCAGGGACCCCAAGACGGTCCATGTTTTTTTTCCTCTCCCAATTCAAAAATGTGGACTGTTTGAGGATCCCTGAGGACTGGTTTGAGAAACTCTGATTTAGAATAAACAATGAAGCCCATCATTGGTCTCGCTCGCTGTGACACCCCTGAAAACTTGGAAGAGTGAAGCAGACATCAAGCATTTACTTATTCCTCTAAAAGCTGCAGGCTTTGTCAGAAATGCCACAGCCTATTCACTCAAATCCACCCCCTCACATGCTTTAAGTGCCTGTGCTTTAGGCGGAACCCTTAGATGCACCAAAGCTGTTGGAGTGGCTTACAGTGAAGATGTGAAATTTAATCACAGACTCTGCCCTACAGCATTCATGGGGAGGCTGCTCTTCTTCCTTCAGCTTGATCCTTGAATCAGTAAATGCACAGAGAATCATTTGGACCCGGAGCTCTGGGTAAGGCATTGGAGCGATGAACAGGCAAGACGCTAGATGAAAACCTCGTATGCAATTCCCAGGTGCAGCTGCTAAAACGCTCCTCTCTTATGTGCATTTATAACTCAATATTTGTGAAATCTAAGTAATTTTTAATGGGGCTGGGCAATTGATTGAATTTTAATTCCAACTACAATTTTGGCTTCCAGTGATTATCAAAACAAAATAACTGAGACTGAATGACTACTGCATTTAATTTAACAATAATGCTGCCATTATGTCTTGTGTTATTAATCCAATACATCCCTTTCTAGCCCCTATTTGTTTCTCATGTTCAATCATATTTAGAGTTTAAGGAAATCCACATTTAAAGAGGCAAGTTTTTTTTTTGTACAGGTCAATAAATGCATAATGTTTCCAAAGTCAAGGAGAAATCTCAAATAATTGTGATCTCAGTATTGACCAAAATAATTGTAATCATAATTTTTGCCATAATAGAACAGCTCTAATCTCTGATACACAGCTGTATATTTCTTCATAAAGCATTACTGTTTGTGCCAGTGAAGTGCAGAGCTCTTTACCCCGGTATACACAGCCAGTAGCGCTCCAGTGGTGACATCACCTAAAGTGGCCTTTACAAGCCTGACGCTGCCTTCTGATTTACATCCTATCAGACTCAGTCACTTGAATATGACAAAACAGAGAACAGAAGTACAAATATTTCCCTTTTCTGCTTCCCCAAAAGGAAGAGAAAAATGCCTCAGGACAACTAACGACTCACGGCATCCAAATAGGGACTTTTCAGACTTACTTGTTTTTCTCTAGGACTACATTGTGGTCCTTCCCCTGAGCATGGATGACATAGGACACCTAGAAGCAAGTAGTGCAGATAGTTTTAGGTGTTTCAATCATGGCGGTGCAAGTGAAAACACAAGCATTTCTGCTTCTTCAACCATAAAAATATATGACTGTCTGACTACTATACCAACATGCAACTGAAAATAAGTGTTTATATTTAGATCACGGTCATTCTTATTTTACAATTTTTAAAGAGGCGTGAAGATGATATTGTTGCTTGTGATGCATTATCCAATTCACTTGTATGTCACCTTTCGGCAATATTGTCTGCTAAATGTATGTACATATAAACAATGAAGTGGCAATTGATATATACCATATACAGCTCTGGAAAAAATTAAGTGACCACAGCACAATTTTTTGTTTCACTCATTTCTCAATTTATGAGTGTGCGTTTGTGAATATTTTTTTTGTTTGCAAACTCCAACCTGGTTCTTCTCAGTTTGTCGTTAATGAAGGGCTTCTTCCCTGCTTTATGGGACTTCAGTCCTGCTTCTAGGTGCCTGATATGAACTGTCCTAGCAGTGCACTTCACACCTGCACTTAATGTTTCCCATTCCTTTTCAAGGTCAATTGATGTCATCCTTCGATTCTTGAGAAACTGTCGGATAAGTTAACAGTCATCTCTGGCATTAGAAAGTCATTTCCCCCTTTTACTTGGCTGGTTTCTGGTCTTTCCCAGGGTCTCCTGCTTCAACTTGTTCTTGTGTTCTGCTGTATTAAAAATTTTGAACCTGGAAGCAGCCTGCTTCTCTTTTGCCAGCAGAACCACAATTAAACCAGGATTTAAAAATGCAGATATTATTTTATTTTTTAAAGAGTGGTCTCAATTTTTTCCAGAGCTGTATATAATCCTGAGGTATATATGATGACTGCAAGACTAAAAATAGATTTAAAATATATGGCTCTTTTTGAAAAGAAAATGTTTCTTGTATTATCATACAGAAATAGTGTCTCTTAGGAAAATGCTTGTGAACACCAGGGCCTCAAGGTAACCCCTTGATCAAGGGTAAAACAGTGGTGTCCCTCCTGGTATTGGAACAGAAAACCTCCCGGTATCCAAAATGTTAATTAAAACATCTTTCCCTGGCAAGATCCAATTGGTTATAGTGGCAAGCAACCAAGAATCAGTAATTAAAACTCCCCAGTCGAGGTTCAATTCACAAATGCCGTCTGGCATGTCAAACTGCAACATGGTCACTCATCTTAAATACATCTTAGCCACAAATATGGGAGGTAGCTTATTACGGTAAATCCCAGTTTCGCCAGTTAATACCGTCAAAGGGATGCATCTAGCGGGTCTGCTCTTCGTAGCGTCCGCTAGCTGTGCGAGACCGCAGGCATCTGAGGAGTCACCTCTCAGCTTGCGGATACTTTTATTAGCTCTCCCCACACTGACTGGGCACCTGTTCCAAACAGATGGCTCCCGTGATTTTTTATCTTTTTGAGAGGAGGAGTAAAAGGAGAGGTGCTGAGGCAGAGGGCAGACATGAGGGCGACCGGGATCAGGGCCAGGGCCACATGGGTGAAGGGCACTTGGCTCCATCCTCTTCCTCGCACAGCATTGATGGCAGTGGAGGACAGAGGTTTAGCAAAATAATACTTGGTACGTATAACTATAAATGACACATGGACCACAAAGAAGGGCCCTTTTTGCACAAATTTTGCACCTTTTAGTGCTATCTTATAGTAAAGTTGTGCAACTAAGTAAACAAAGGCATTATCTCCATATAAACATACATCACGTTATTTATTAAGGAGATGCTTTGATCCAAAGCGACACAAAATTGAGCAGGCAGGGTCAGTCCATCTCGGGAACAATGGTGCTTAAGGCTTTTGCTCAAGGGTGCGTAAGACGGTGCAGCCTGAACACATGGCGGCCTTTGCTCTAACCGGGTACACCCTTTAAACCATCAGCAAACAGAGCCTGTGAGTCACAGATCTGGTTGGAGAAGTGGAGGTTAACCTCAAAGAGCACACACCCAAAGCACACTTCCCAAAGACTTCACACCTGGGAGTGTCCAAACACAGAAAGGTGGCCCATGGGCCCTGGGACAGGCTGTCATACTTGGGGTTTTCCAAACCTCACCGCTACCATATTTACAGGTGCATTTGCCAACTCTGCTACCATTGGGGATCCGGGAAGTTGCTACCTTAAGCTGACTGCTAGTTAATACACACATGGACAAATATGGTAGTTCTGGAAAAACCCATGTATGGTAGCCTAAACAGAACACAAACAGTGACACACAGCAAGTAAAAAGATGCCTAATATTTTCATTAAGTTTCTTTAGGTAGAAGGTGAAAACTACTTTTTGGTAAATGATACACTGAAGCCTTTAAAAATTCTTTTCACTGGGACAGCATAATAATCAGCATAAAATAGACATTTAACAAAAAACACTAAATGAGAAATTTAACTGATCTTTAGAGTCTTTGGCAGCTAAAACAATGTTTTTGTCTCTAACTGCACCTTATCGGATGCCACGTTCCCCAGGTCCCTCTTCTCCTTTCCAATCCTCCTGGGGACCGTCAGTTCATAAGCAGACAGCCGAGAGGTCTGTGGGTGGTCTGCTCCTAGGCGAAACACAGATGAGGACCATCAGGCTGTCATTTAAACAGGTATGCATTGTCAGGGTGTAAAGGCGTGCGATTGGCCAGGTCATTCACACACATATGATGTACAGTACTGTGCAGAAGTCTTACGCAGTCCAAAGAAATGTTTAAAACTACATATCTGGATAGTAAGTGCACATTTGCTCAGAACAAAAAAACAAACAAACAATAACATTAGAACATATGCAAATTAAGAGTAACAAAACTAGTAAAAATTTCTTCTGTTCTCCAAAAAGTTACTGATATCTAGTTGGACGGCTAGAATGAACACCGCTTCAGTTCCCAAATCTCTCCTCAGGGGCACCTCAGCCATTCCATTAACTTTCACCACCAGCTCACTTAATTAACTTAATTAGTTTAAAAAAATCAGTGAGATATTGGTTAGCTATAGGAGGGGTGCTAGTGGTCGAGTCAAAAAATACATGGGTGTATTCACTGTATTGGATGGTTGCTGGAAATACTGGGGTGATTTTAGCAGAGGTTTTGAAATGGCTAAGCTGACACACTTTGACAGGCATAATGGCATAGTTTTAGACCAACATAAAGATCTAAACATCATTTTCTTTGGCTGCCTAAGACTTTTTCACAGTGCTGTAGGGGGGAATCACTTTGCCTGGATTTCTTGATTAATGACTGCTTCCACCCAAACTTTAAAGAATCATTACTTAATTTGAAATATACTAGATATCCCCCCCATTGCTGAGGTATTTACAGCAGCCTCTCACTCATCAGATACCGGAACAAGCATCTGGCCCTTCTACTGACATGGCTATCAATTAAATGGAATACGGAAGCCAAAAATAATAAAGGCGTGACACAGCCAGCCAAAGGTCAAGGTTATAATGCTAACATTCTTTATTTAAACTGACTGCAAAATAATGAAATTCCAGCACAGAAAATGTTTATTAAAAATGCGTGACAGAAATTGGAAAGCAAACTCCTAATGTTGAGGTTATTTTTAACCGTAGGCCACAAAATTAAAAATCGCATTTTGCATTTCAGTCGCATACATAAATGTCCGTCCGTGACTTTCCAAATATTGTTGACTGTTGGAAGTAAAATGTGAGCTCGCTTTGCTCGCTATTTTTTTATATTATCATATACAACTAGTACCGTTGCGAAATACACAGTGCTAGCTTACAGTATCCCTCTTTCAAAGTCTAATGAATTGTTACCAGGTGACTCTCTTTAATTATCATTGTAAATGGCAAAATGTATACAGAAGGCAACGTAGGCCTACTAAACACTATGCTTTACTGAAGATACACCTAATAGTTTTTATGCGTCATTCTATTTTGACAAAAAAAGTGTTTAAAGCAAACTCATTTAGAAAGTCGAGCATAACTAAGCAATGGCATTTCCAATAAATGCATATTTAAAAAATGAATGACAGAACACAGCTATCAATATAGGCACCACGTAGCGCACTATCTGTCCTGGGAAGGTAATTGCGTCATGCGACATGACAACTTTTGCAGTATCTGATATACTTCCGCAGTCTAACTGCATTATATAATAACCAGAACGGGAAACCATACCGATTGAAAATTACCCATAAGGGATTTTTTTTTTTTCAAATAAAGGCTTTTTGTAAATAAACGTGTACATGTTGGCCTTGCACCTTATTATCAAAATTGAAATTGCAGTGGGCTTATTCATACCCAGATAGCATGCGGATGTGGGCCACTTCTGGCAAATGTGTGGCACTGCTGGCCCAGTTCCGGCATCGGCGAACGGATGTACTGTATGCCAAAAGTGGCCCACTTGTGGTTAGACAAATGTGGCCCAAATGTCACAAAACAGATATGAGCCACATGTTAAATACTTTATTAAAAAACAGTTTGTTTTTTAATAAAGTATGACTTGGCGATGGACAGGGAAGGAGGGAGAAAACGGAGACTGGAAAGATACAACTGTCAATAATTCTTAAAAGCTTTGTAGTGAACAAAGCTTGAATATAGTGTTCAAGGCTTGAATTTATATTGAGTTGCCTGACATTTTTGTTTTTTTGAGTTTGAATTGCCAGTTCAACAATGGAAATTCAATGTGTTGTATCTCAATGCTAATATTTGTTAATGCAATTGTTTAAAATAAAAATCCTTGAAGACATTGGACTTTTGTTATTTTTAAACGCATTTGAAGCCTGATCAGGGACTGTATGCAGTTCCTGTTGAAAAGTAGCCCTTATGAGGTTAACATCTGTGAGGTTCATAAACCAGTAGTGGGCCACAATAGGGCCAGATCTCAGACAGAGCCTGGCCACTTGTGGCTAACATAAGGCCCAGCTCTGGCCCAGATGTTAACCTGATGCGGAAACCGAGAGCGGTCCGCTCAATCGCCGTCATTCCATGCAGTATGTGGGCCAGATCCGGGCCAGATCTCAGACAGAGCCTGGCCACTTGTGGCTAACATAAGGCCCAGCTCTGGCCCAGATGTTAACCTGATGCGGAAACCGAGAGCGGTCCGCTCAAATTATCAAATAAAGCAGTTATTGCGTAACAGTACAAGCGAAAGAGATTTCAGCCACTTAACGCCATTCAAATGAAGTGCTCGAACAAGGTATTCTCTTTCGTGACGCGAATCATGCGAAAGGTTTAATTAATATCCCAGTTAAAGGCTCTTTAACAACTGAGAACCGCTAGTATAAATCATGGGATTCGGCGCGCAGCTCAGCTCAAAACAGGCTGAGAACCGAGCGCTTGGGGAGACTGTAGATGTATCGGCGAAAAGTGGACCTCGGTTAAAATAGCAAGGCGTTTGTCATATGTGTTAGTGGTGTTAATATGTCTGTCTGTTTTAAATACCGTCTACATTAGTTAGTATCATTCAACCATGACAATTTCTCTTTTGGAGAACCGAAAGACCTGTGTTCTCTAAATAAGTATCCGGTAATCACCAAGCTATACTCACAGCTTATTCATTGTCTACATTTACTAAGAAGATCTGGGAGTAGAGTACATTAGATCTCCAAAAAACATTTTAATATCCGTGTTAGGTGGATGACTCCTATTAATTTCATGTGGGTGTGTTTTCATGTGTTAGTCATTTCTTTGTTTTTAATGTTTCCAAACCACCAGCGTTATTGCTCAGATTTATCAGGAAACATCATCGGATTGTAGCAATAGTTTCTATATCGGATTAAGTTACACTGAAATACAGCCAGCAGGTGTCCACTTGTGCCGATGTTAACTTTGGTTTTTAGAAGTTCTGCAACCAGTCTAAAAAGGCACAATTCTGTAATATAAGCAATAAGTAAAGTTTGTGTCTTCAGGCGAATAATCTGCGCATAGTGCGCTCTCACGTCAATAATTAATTATACGGTTGCATTTCCGACCCCCTAATTTTGAATGGATCGGACGCAGAACGTCATTAAGTACTAACAAGAACTAACAAGAACAAAGAGTGTTATAGGTAAAGACTCAAGCCTGAGAGCCTGCTCTAGATTTTCAGCCTGTCAGTCCAGGCAGACGTCCAGGCAGACTTGTCTGACCGGCCGCGGGAGACGGCGCACTTACTTCCCAGCGCGCACAGTAAGCAGAGAGCGCACAGGACCCGCAGGTTCATGTTTATACGATCCACAAGCAATCGCAGTCGCCGGAGACGCTTTTATTCAATTTATTTCCCTTTTCCAGGCGTCGCCTCCCAATAACCGAACGCCTCCTGAACATAACGCTGGCTACCTTGTACACCGCAGGTACCTCCAGAAATCAGACATGCTGGAGCTAAACAGTTTCTAACTGACCGCCTAAGATATTTGTCCTCAGTCCGAGGTGGATTTAACCATGTCGATCACTCCCACGTGATGACAGTGGTGAGCTTTGCCTTGCCACGATGAAATCTATCTCTCCAGGCTGCCGGCACTTAACCATCCATTTAACTTAGAAATAGCGAGCGGACTGCGCATGCGTTAGGAGCCAACCTGCGCGTCCCATTAACCCATTTGGTGATCAAACATGACGTACCGCTCTCCGCTCGGCGTTTGCGGTAAGAGCCGTCCGCCTGACCCCGCGTTATGGTCCTTAGTCTCGGCATAAATACCATTATCGTTATTTGTTTTCCCCCACATGTCCGGGTGTTAATACGCCAATTTGCGAAATAGAGAATCCTTTGCAGACCTATTCCGGTAGCATATATTAGTGGAAGTTCCTACTACTCATACTGAAGCGTACTACTGACAAAAAAGAAATGAACATACGAACTTGCTTTACTATTTAACACGTATGTTAGAGAATGGCTGCCGGGTCTGTCGTGTGTATGTAGTTTATCGTTCAGGCCGTAGATTATAGAGCCAGTGGCCTTGCTGACTATATGGATGCGTATGTATAGATTTCTGAAAGCATTACTTGTGCTTTAATAAGTAGGGGAATACAAAGATATATTCCTACGAAGCGTTGTAAACTCGACAACGTAATATATTTGAATAATTTGACCAGTAAATGTTTAATACTGATAAACACTGATGGAAAGCCAGGATTACCGGATCACCTGGCCAACTCCACTGTCATACACTACTTTGTGCTAACGATTGTTTCTAGGGGCTGTATCCGTGATGACTAACAAAAACAGCGTAGACTTAGTGCGCATCAAATGATGACAAATCCGTCAAATCGGGAATATCATTTTAACCTAATGACCCTTTTAGAAATCTATGTAAATAATGTTTCATTTCAATGAGGACATTCACATATATGAAGCTGAGCACTAGGACAGCTAATGTTCTGTAATCAGGACATACGCATTTCGTACTTGTAGGGTAGGTTTTCTGATCCCGGATCCATTCGATCAGACAGACTAGGTACATCGTTCACTCTCCCGATTTTGCGGAACTCTCGCTCCTGCGGGTCACGTGACTCAGGATAGAGTAAACGATAGCCGACTACGCCATAAACAGCACACTTCCTATAGCTTTATTTGGGTACAGAAGATGTATCATCATTAGTCTCTATTTTGTGTTTATGACTAAGTCTATGGGTGTTAAGTACTAGACAACAGTCTAGGATAGTGACGTGTTTTTCAGTAAGTGTACTTATAAGTCAGGATGGCCGAGCGGTCTAAGGCGCTGCGTTCAGGTCGCAGTCTCCTCTGGAGGCGTGGGTTCGAATCCCACTTCTGACAAATACTTTTTTTTCTTGTTCGCATCCCGTCATGGATTTCTTGTCCAGATTTTACTGTTTTATGTTTTAGGTGATTTACATATTTATTTTATTGAAGTAAGGGGTACATCTTGAGATTCTGGGCCCTCCACACCAGACCAATTCAATTACGTTCAACATTTTTTAGGGCCCAGAGTCCTGAGTAGTGTTGTGATCCAGGACATGATTTATCCTATATTATCGTATCCAGACCATATCCCCCTCCGTGCTCAAAAAAAAAAAAAAAAGAATTTTTTATATATATACATATATATATTACACACACACACACACATACACATACATACATATACCTATATTATAAACCTATACTCAAGTCCAATTGAGATGAAATGTGGCGAGACCCAAATGAACTGAGAGACACTGATACACTAGCTATATTAGACATTTGAGCATCGTTATTAGCCTACTGCTAAAGATTTTACAACCAGTCAGAATGTTAAATTTACATCTACTTTATTTGAGGCTTGTATCTCTAGCGACATACAAGTGAGGCAGTTTGCATAATACAAACATACTGCTGTCAAAAACATATAAATGCAGCTAGGATGAGCTTCCAGTAATTGCTCAGGTTGGTTGAAGGTCAGATCACATTCAGCATCAAAAAATTAGCACTAGTACTCAAAACAATGTTATGTATAGTCAGTATATCAGTATATCAGAAAACTTTATATAAACACTAATTAAGACAAAATCTTTTACCACTTCTACCTTCATACATGCATTTTTTTATATAGAAGACACAGTGGAGAAGATTTTAAATGGTGAAGGTCTAGAGGTGAAAGAATTTGACTCTTCCCCTGAAGAAGTTCATGCAGTGGTCCTAAGGAAGACCGTCTGTTACATTGTCTGTGCCATCATCTTCAATGCAAAGGTAAGAGCTACAGTATGATTTTGCCATGTAAGGGCAGTGACTCAGTGACACTAACATTCCTGTTACTTTAACATGGAGCATCAGTTACTTAAAAGTTAAATAGAACTTTATGTCTAGAATGTGCAGAAATGAAGTAAAACCTGATAAAGTGCAGAATACAATGTACATAATCAAGATCAGCCATTGCAATTGGTAATATATATTATTACCCCGTGTGGTTTGCATAGCTTATCATTTTATATTGTAAAGTTCTCAGGTCAAAGTCACATTGTTAATGGAAAACCAGAATAGCAGTCATATCTCCCTCTAGGCCAAAGCAAATGTTCCTCTCCTACACCAGCCGATTGCAGGAATACAAAAAAATTTGCCATTCCTTTAAGGAATGTCAAAACATTGGACTGCAAGGTTCTACACGGTTTAGACTCATCTCACATCTCTTATACGAGCATAATATCCATTGGAGGGCAAAATCACGTGTAGCCTTGCCTACTAAATCTTTGGTGGCAGCTTCTGTATGTGTGCCAAAAACAATGTTATCTATATTTAAAAGCTGAACCATAATGTAAAAAAGGCATGGTGTAGTAATGGTGTGGGGTATTGAGTGTCACGACTCCAGGACTGGGCCCCCTGCCCCTGCCTGCTGTTTATAGAGTTTGCTTCCTCTATCTTCCAGTTTACTAGAATACCTCAGTGACACAGTTAGATGACTCAGGGTCTCTGAATCGCTCATAATTAATGCTTGTGTGACTCTGCAATGGATTGACATCCTATCCAGGGTGTACGCTAGCCTTGTGGCTTATGCTGCCTGTGATAGCCTCCAGGTCACCCTGTAACTCTGATGAGGATGCGCAGCTGGAAGATGGCTAGGGTGGGATTTATGGTGGGCTGGCTAAAGCACTATACTAAGTCCCCAAAAGAGCTGTAAGCTGCAAAAGCATTTTCTAGGCAACTGTGTAATGAGATGTGACGAACGGCTGTATTGTCCGTGTACCACTGCTGTCTGGGTTTGAAGGACGAGGTGCTGATGGTGCAGGAGGCCAAACCGGAGTGCTACAAACGCTGGTACTTACCGGCGGGCCGCATGGAAAAGGCAGAGAGCATCATAGAGGCCATGGTCAGGGAGGTTAAGGAGGAGTCCGGCCTGGAATGCCAGCCAATCACCTTGCTTCTGATCGAAGAGCAGGGCTCACAGTGGATCAGATTCACCTTCTTGGCGGAAGCAACAGGTTGGGCTGCATTGACTGTTTTCTGCATGATGCGCTAATTTAAAGGCATTCGTCTGTAATACATTAATGCCATTTTGTGTGTCAGGATCTTTGGGTCTTAAAATGAGGGCTCTCATTCATATGACTTTGCATTCAGGAGGCTCTTTGAAGACAGAAGCAGAAGCTGATGCAGAGTCGATCCAGGCTCAGTGGTGGGACAGGGAGACCCCCCTGCAACTCAGGACCAATGACATCCTGTGCCTGATAGACGCCGGCCTGAAGTACAGGGAGAAGCCTCGGTTTACGCCAATGCTGCCTATCGACCTCCCCTGCCACGTCATCTGCCAGAGACTGTTACTCGTATTCCGCGACCCCGACGGAGAGCTCTGGATTCTGCTGAGCCACAAGGAAGATCCCCGCGTCCCCGTCGCCGTGTGCGGCAGGAAGTACTCGCTGACATGGGTCGTGCGCAGGCTGGCGCGGGAGTGCATGCCGTCCTCGCCGGGCCTCAACCTCAAACCCTGGGGCATCCTGGGAGTGCAGCATAACGGCAGGATGCCCGGGAAGACAGATGGGATCTGTTTCAACATGCTGGCGTCGGTGGAGCAGAGTGCCGACGGTGGCCAATCCAGCCACCCTCCATTGCTAGAGAATCCCAGATTTCTGTGGCACAAGGTGGTCAGTCCTAATATAAAAGAGAAGATTAATCAGAGACTGACATCACGGTCTGTACTTCCCATGTACAGCCTTTATTAACGTCGGCTGAGAACCTGAAAAACAGATGAGGCACAGTGCATCACAGCCTGAATGCTTTCCAATTCTCCGAAGCTATCATGCGGTAGTAACAATAAGGCCATAGGGGAGGGGTAGGATGCTGTTTTCCTTCAGAGATACAGGGTCTTCTGTTTTTTCCTTCTACCTCACTATAATTATCTGAAATATGTACTTTAAAAAGTAATCAGTTTTCAATATCGGGTGATATCTGAAAACCAACACACCTGGTGGAAATCTGACTGTTACCTAACCCTGCAGGAAGTAGTGAAGACTGTGAAAGCACAGCTCAATATATCTAATATATAATGAAAAAGACTCCAGATACAGAAACTGCAGTATAACACAAAACAGAATTAAGTCTACAACTTATAAGTGGACTGATATATACACACAAATAAAAATGTACGTTTTATAAACCGTTATCGACACACAATAGAAAAAGCACGAGTTAGTTACGAGATACTGTTTTTATCACATATAATTTATATATGAATACTTAAAAAAAATTATAATGTAATCTTCACACTTCAGTTTAACTATTGGTAGAGTAAACAAGCTGGGATTTTATAATGCAACATGAATGCACTATGCGATGAAAGCATGAAGAATACCTCCAGGACATAACCATTCACTATTGTGAAGCAAACCTTGCTTACCTCAGCCAGGGAACCTCCCCATTACTTCAGGTAAAATAGCCACTTGCATTAGGTTAGTGAAGGAAACTTTAATCACTAGGAGAAAATAAATACACACAAAGCCATTACACAATCTTAATTTAGGTTTGCTGTATTGCCCTTCTAACTGCATGTTGGCTGCAGAAGACAAGGGCCCCATCTTGGCCTGCCTGCACTGACTTCAGCTTGTTAAGTATACTTGCATGGATGGGTCAATGCAAAAGAAATGACCGAACTGTATAATAAAGGATTATATACGACAATTAGCCTGAAAATCAGCCTATTTACAAGAATATATTTTCATTGTTTTAAAAGTGAAATCAATAAAGATCTGGCAAATGTCTTATATTAACTACTTTGGTGTGTATGACTTTTATTTTTAAATAAATTGCAGCTGTCAGTTGAGACCGTAGACAGACCAAGAGTGAAGCAGAATAAAAAGAACATCACTGGGTGTTTAATGTTCAAACGGAACTTTAAGAACTGTACAGCAAACAGCCCATGTCTGTTCATCGTGACCAACAGACAGCAGGATGGAAGCATTTTTTCCATCTTAAAAGAAAAGAATTCCCCGAAGATAAAGCACCCTATTTTCCACCCACCAACTTTTCACAAAGTAAATATCATCTGGGTAAGTTATTTCAACATAAATAGTAAATATTAAGACAGATAAAGATAAAACAAAATTTACATAAGACAGATGATCGAAACAAAACCCAAGACTTTACATGATAGCCAAAAAACAACAAAAGATTATTTAAGTATCGGCATACCGCTTCCTGTTCCATTAATCACTGGACAGAAATGTGCCATGACTATAGTCTTCTCCAAAAAAAGCTTGTTGAATCCAGTTAAATTGTCACACGCTGATTGGAGCATTTTAATTATCACCTGTGCAACTCTGGCAAATACACAGCATCCTTTACTACAGTCAATAAATGCTAGTGATAACCAGAGATGAAGAGGCCAGAGAGTCAGAGATCTTCCATGGGAAGTTTGACAAATACTATTGCTGCCAGTTCCTTGCAGAATTCTTCCAGGACTATAACCCCTTTCAGCAGGGTCACATGATCCATTCTGAAAGTTACAAAAACACGATTCTTATTCAAAAGGAGGTTCGAAGAACATCGTGTATAATTACTGGAATTCCTTAAGCCTCCTTACTGAATTTCAGTTTAATACAAGCAAGTCAATTCTGGCTAAATTCCAATGAATTCCTTACAGTGATTCAGGCTCCAGCGACATCAGCTGCTTTCTGACGTGGACAAGCTTCTCGGTGAAATTTGGGATATGTTGGATCCTCTGCATCAAATCTCCTATCACCTACAGGAAGGTGGGAATGAGCCGGTAGACAGGATGAGAGTGACACAAAACCAAGTTGCAAGAAGGAAAAACACCAACAAAAAATGGGAAGAGGGAAAAATAGAAACAAACTTGGATTGGATGGGATGGACTCACCCTGATAAGAACAGAGAAGAGGGAACGGCTTCCAGTGGCCAGGCTGATATAAGGATTGAGCAGGTATTCGTGCAGGTGAGGGTGGGGGAATGAGGCGAGCCTGGACAGCACTGACGTCACCTGGAGGTTCAGCTCATATGGCTGAGGGACAAGTAAGAGAAGAGATGAGGACTCAGGACAGACACCCGAACGTGTGGTGTTTTCCGGGCCTGACAGGCTACCTGCTCTAGGATCTGCGCGATCCTGTCGAAAAGGATTTTGAGGAAGTGCCCTTCGTAGAAGCAGGAATCCAGGGAAGTCACTTCTGGAGGCTGGGGCAATGTGGGCCATCCCCAGTTCAGTGAGATCTCTCTGCAGTCTTTAAACTGGGAAGGCACACACAGGAGAGCGCCACATGGAGAAGCGTTAGCTGACAGCCCCGCTGAAACACAGCCTGACGCTAGTTATCACACAAGACTCACCATTTCATGTGCATCGTGAACATAGGTGTCATATCCCGCTCCCTGGACGTACCGAGATGTTTTCGCCTCTTGTGGGACCAGGCAGAGAAAGCTGCACAACAATGCACATCTAATCACCACACACAATCCATGTTCTTGGCTGTTCTTCTCGACCAATTGCCAGTGCACCTTACCTTACACAAACATTAATCAATAATGTTGTATATTACAGCGGATTTTAAAGTGAACTTATGATATCATAGTGATTAGGGCTGGATATTTGATCAGCTGGTCGCATTTTTTTAAGATGTAGGCTGGCCTTTTGTTATTCCTTTGGGGTATTTAACTGGTATTTCTACATGAAATATCCAGCACTATAAATTTGTATAGTGTAAGATGTACCGTAAGGTGACAGGAACATTTATTAAAGGTACCTGTTCACAATGTCTGCCGCTTGGGACTGTCCTCCAGGCTCCCCCTGGCCACGCTGCTGGGGAGGCAGGGACACCAGCGTCTCAACATGGTTGAAGTTGCCTTCAGAGTCCATGTCCGTGAAGAAAGGATCCTCCTCAAACTCCCTGCTCAGACAGTGAGAACAGTCAATGCAGGTCCAACCAGTGCCCTGTGCTGCTCTGATCTGGCCGGGTAACAGTGTGTCGCCATGACAGAAGGTCAGAAAGGTCAGTCTCCAATTTAGGAATGAAATCCCTTCCCCAAGTCTGTCTTTAAGTAAAATTTGTAGGTAAGTTGGAAAAATAATAATACAGTTCTTAATAATAATAATAATTATTATACCATAATAATAAAAGTAACAACATATGGTACCATTCTGTACCTGAAGCCAAGGACTGCTGAAGCCACGCAATGTTTTCATGAGCATCAAAGTACTGCGTGGGTTTGTTATCACAAACCACTGCATTTAACCCAAATGTGTAATATAACAGCCTTAACGGAAGTCCGTTCGTAAGTACGAGTTATATTGGACGTTCTTAAGCCGGGGACTTCCTGTACCAGTGCCACACAACTACACGAATATGTTGATTGTTGACCGTATAAGCCCTATTCAGCCATCCCATCTAATTTCATCATCATCCCACAGATGGTGGGAGGGGGGCATTGGTGCTATGGGCAAGTAAGGGGGCACACACACGGACTCCTCGAGGGGCTCGCCGTCTCCAGGCTGTCGCTCTTCGCCCCCTCCAGCTGCCCCAGGGGCAATGTAACCACGTCTCTCCAAGTTCCTCAGGGCGAGGTTGAACACCACGTGCTCGTGCGGCTTCTGCAGGAGTTCCTCAAACAGCCTCAAGGTGGCAATACTGATCTGACGGGAACAGAGAGCAGCTTTCATTCCCAACATTCTGTATCGTATACATACAACTATCCATCCATCCATCGATCCATCAAAGAGGGCTGCAGGAATCACAGAGGAAGAGGAAGAGGACACCCTGGATGGGAGGCCAGTCTATTTAGATGGAATTACACTTAAAAAGTTCTTTCTGTTCATCGCTAAACACTAAGTAAAAAAATCAAGCAAGTACATGCACTTTGAACAGAGAGTGCACTTCTGAAGAACTTCCTAAAAAAAAATCAAAAGACTCCTATAAACTGATAACATTAACAGTTTTGAAAAATGTTAACAGCAGCCACAGGGATTCCTGGTCTATGTGTTCAGCCTGTAAAACAACATTCCTGCATCACGAGACTTAGATTACAGGGCAAAATTCCTTCAACGCCCCCTTTGCAGTTTCCTCATAAATCCTTGATGCAATGCAAAGGTAAACATTAGTCAAGAAAAGACAAATGGAACAGACTGGGAATTGTATTAAAATGTCAATTACTGGCTATGATCCACATCACAGGAAATTAAGTTATTGGGTAACAGAAAGCAAGAAACTTTTGATACAGATTTCCTTTCCATGTTGATAAATCAGTTTCAGCACCAGAAATATATACTGCATATATCCATGAAAAATTAAAAAAGGATTGAATTTAGATGTAGGAATGACTGATTCGTGCATGTACTCTCGGTTTCTGATGTCTTTCTTATAAACATTATACACGGCATAATGCGATAAACACCAATGACAAATTAGACCCATATTATTTTAGCGCATCCTAGTTACTCCACAATCTTCCATAACAAAAAACAGCCCCAGCCATCAAAGAACTTTTAACATCTACCTCATCATTGCAGAATGTTTGTGCTTATTTAAGACTCAATTTGTGACATAGAGGATTTAAGACTGTTTTCCACATTTTTCAAATGTTTTTTATAAGAGGAATGCCGACATCGCATCCTCGCCGGCCGATTCTAGACGGAACATTGTCTTCTTCCTCCACAATGCCAGTGACAGAGGGGGCAATGGAGGCCAGAGGCTGGGAGGACAGCGTACCTCGTCAGAGATGTGGTTACAGTTTTCGATGAGCTGCCGGCGCAGGACCGGGGCATCTGGGTCAACTTGGCGCTCGCAATTCCTCTGGCTGCCCAGGATGAAGAAGACCAGCTCTTCCAAGAGGGTGGGGGCACTAACGCGGTGCAGAATGCGGGAGAGCAGGGCCATGTGCAGCAGCATGCCTGCTTCTGACCTGTGGGAGACAAACGTGGCCTCATCACCTCCATGGGGAAGCAGGTTCCAGCCCAGGAAACACGCTAGAGTTGGACACTTACACCTGGAGCAACTGCGGCTGCACCACAGCGACAAGCCACTGACGGCGAATGGCTTTAGCCAATTTGATCGACAGCGTCTGAAAAAGGCAAGAGGATCAATGAAACACTGCACCCAGGAAATGTTTTACGTTTAGGCAGAATTGGTCGTCTGTTGACTGGGGCTTTAACATATTGAGCATGTCAAGCTAACAAAGGGGACAAGAATGGCCCTTTGACTTGATTCACACTCACTTCCCACCCCATGGCATCACTCACCCGTGGTGCCTCATTGACCAAGTGGTTGCAGAAGTCCAGCCAGGCTAAAAAGGCTTCCAGCTGCTCCCTACCAGGTAACGAGCTGGACTCCTCCGAAGTCTTGGGGGAACACTGAACTCTGCGTATACACCAATAACGCCATAAGAAAGTCTTCCCCAGAAAGAACCAGTACTGCAGAATTATTTTAAATACTTAAAAAACTACCAGTATAACCTTTTTTGTAAGGTAAGGGCTATACCTTGTCAGAAGTTTTATACCAGCCAAAATATTTAATTCAATAAGTACCTCCACCCTAGTTTGCTCTTAGTGGAGAAAGAGCTGCAGCCTTATCTGATGAATTACAAATGTAATATGCTTGGATCACCAGTAACCACATGCTGTACCATGCCAATATCTCTGTGTACCAGGCTAATACTCAAATATTCCATGCTAATGTCACAGGTAATCATTCTTTACTACTAAACAGCGAGAGTCATGTTTTGGAGAAACTGCTACTCAACATCCATACAGAGAAAACAAGACTATTTCTGT